CTCATGTACCTCTATTGTTTATCTTATTAAAGCCTTGTTAAAGCCTATTTGTTCGAGTTTCTGAGGTATTTTGGCAGCTTGAGACCGCAACAGAAAACGAGCAGGTTTCTCTTTTCCTCATTTTTTTAAAAATACCGAAAATACCGACACGGGTAAAATGACGTTGGTTATTGACACAAATGTCGGTATCGGTTATTTTTCGTTTTATCCCCCAGGCCTATGTTAAAGTGATGTTAACCGCATCATTGCTAACATGGGCTAATGTTCCAAACCATAAAATGTAATTGCAGTGTTCGCTTTTCCAACTCCAGACTAATAGAGGGGCGTGTCTCTGAGTGAGAGGCTTTTATACAAACATGAGAGCTGTGATGTAAGCGTGTACCAAACTGTTACATTTTAAACAATAGGAAAACTCCACTGCAGTAGCCACTGCTCAACCCATAGAGGGCAGCACTAAGATGTTTTTTGACAAACTATCGCAAATTAAACAAATTTAGATAGAAATGTCAAAATTTGCACAAAAATATAAAGATATAATAAAATATAAAGATAAGACAGTTTATCTGCAAAATAATTTTGATTTTGGGTTTAGTTACTTTTTAATATTAGGGAAATCAGTCCCTCAAAAGAGAAAAAACAAAACTGTTGTAGTTTTTCTGCATAATTGTGTGGAAATATAATACTTCATACCAAATTTAACCTTAATCTAACAGTTTCACAAATTATAAAAAAAAATGTTAAAGCCATCCAGTGTCTTGTTTTTGATTTTTTTTTGTTTGTTTTTACTTTATTAAAAATTGAAAAATTCCTAAAAAAAACATTTTTTTTATTATTTCTGGTGGTGTTGTGTTTCCTCTACAGTCCAACAAAGTCTCAGTGGTGCAGCAGTCTCATGGGATGCACCCACTGACCTCCCTGCTGCCCTACAGCAACGATCACTTCAGCCCGAGTCCTCCTCACCTGCCCACAGACATGAGCCAGAAGACAGGTGAGAACACTCACACACACACACACACACACACACACACACACACACACACACACACGTGCATAAACAAACTCAAAACAACAGTTCATGAACACATTGGCACTGGTACGAATGAAGCAACTACAAAAACAAACAGCAGTTGCCAGTGTGAATGTTAAAATCTGTCATAACTTTAGGTTCGTCTCTCACATTTCACACACAGATGCCCAAATAAACACAGACATGTGAGACAGTTAGACTGTTGTTGAAATCTTCATCCACTCACACACACCCTCTCTGTGTTTTTCACAAATTTTTCAACACATCTGCAAAGAGAGATATGAAACACAATCAWACACAGCTATTTGCGCACACAAGGAATGCATTAGAGCAAAAGTATTATATTCATATTCTTGTCCAGCGTCTCATATATGGACACACACACACACACTTGGCTGTGTGTGTGAAGTGCCATCATCGACTCCGTCTGCCTGTGGCGGTCCCACGGCAACTCTGAAGTGGCCTGCTCCTCTGAAGGGACCGCTAACCGCACACTCTCTCGCACACAGACACACAAAGATGGAAACAATTAGGGTGACAATCGCACAAGCCATCACAGCAGCTCACACAAGGTTCTCCTTAGCAAACTCTTTATCCAAACACACACTGCGCTCTGTTTGGGAGTCACAAACAAACACACCCTGACACTACTGGAGTTTTACCTCACCGGGAGAGAGATACATCAACTTCTGGATTTTTTTTAAATATATTTTTAATATATACTGTATTTATATATATGTGTGTGTGTATGTATGTGTTTATGTATATACAGTATGTATATGTATGTATATATTAGGGCTGCAACAACAAATCGATAAAAATCTATTATTAAAAGCGTTGGCAATGGATTTCCTTATCGATTCGTTGTGTCACGGGATTTATGCGTCCCTCGCCGTGTCGCGGAGCCGATTACTTCACCCGCAGAGCGTTGTCAATGACCGCAGTTAGTTTCCAAGAAAGAAAAAACTCTACCTGTAAAGAGCCCCCCTCTCTGACTCTTGAGTGAAAAGCAGAGACTTCGAACTTTAAACCAGTTTTTAAATCATGTTGTTAGGCCAAGTAGATCCAAAGATATGATAAAAATTATCTGCTACATTTATTCTTTTTAAAAGACGTCTGATTTGATGTGCGCCGCATTGCGAGGAGGAAGTGCGTGCGGGGGAGGAGGGAGACCTTAAATCCACCGTTTTGTCCTCCTCTCGGGACAAAAGTATAAAAACTCTCCAGTTTTTTCTGACTGAGGCCCAAAGTTATTTGTTGAGCAGCAAAACGGTTCAGGACGAAGGGAAAAAAAACGACGCGATCGAGCAGCAGGTCTGCAGGGAGGGGGTGCCCGCTTCAGAACCGGT